ACTTCAACAGACTGCCAGGTGACCTTCACACAAGCCAGCATCAGAGAAACCAGCATCTGTCAGGAACTGGGCATGGAAGTCACAAAGTTACAGCTTGGATGTTATTTCAGAGATGTTATTTTTCTAGCTCAGTTTCTGTTCATTAAATAAAGTTTAGTCTATCCAACACATCTGAGAAGGTCTACAACAGTCCATTTCAATATAAGCCAAGGTTTACTTTAATTACCAGAACTAACGCTGAGCAAAAATGGAAAAACAATCATTGCTCACATGAAGTACATGCTACTGTACATCTTTGTGAACTGTCGTCAAAGGCAATAAAAAAAACACTGCTTGAAATGTTTTTGCTGTAAAGGATTTGAATGTGTAGTGTTACTGAAAAAAGTTCAAGGTGCATTGCTGGCTTATCACAATTATTAAATACAGGTTAAATATTCAGTCACTTAAGAATTGTAATACTTCGAATTATTTATATACGGTCTAAACCGGCTACAAAATATCAATTAAAAACCAATAGATGGCTTAATTTGCAAAAGCTCTGAAATGCAGTAAAAGAGATCTAGTATCTCTTCTAAAACAGATGGGGAAACCCAGACCCCTTGCCTAAATATTTAAGCTACTAGTGGGTTTCTGACATATTAATTTTGATCCATCTTCAAAATGTTATAAACATTGCTGTTGTCTGGCAGAAGGTGTGGAAAATTCTGAAGGGAATCCCTCCTCCAAGCAGGATATAATGTCTTTTTTGTTTGTTCCTTAGTTCCCACATAGTGATCCATTAAACATGTGTTTAATCTAAAGCATACTAATCAGAGCTTTCACTGCACTAATATTAGCATGAGAAGATCTGTACCTCAAGTGCACTGTAGATACATATACATATATGCAAGAATTAGTCATTTTGACGTGTCTAAGTAGCACACTTGATAACGTTGTATTTTCAGTAAGTATGTCATTAATATATTAGAGAAGGGCGCTGTGTCAAAGTGAGAACTGCAAAGGATCAAGCAGAGGTAAATTAGAACCTGAAAAGTAGAAAGAAAACACCTGAAGACGCACCTGCAGAGCCCTGAAGAGGGTCGCATTGGAAGGCTATGCTTTTTAATTAGTACCCTTCAACTAGATAACTCAAAAACAAAAACTACTTATATGAATAACTGAAAAATGCAAAACAAACTGCTCTGAGCCATTTCACAATGTTAGAAACAGAACGTGTAAAGAGAATTGTGATGCTGCCTTCTGTATAATCGGTCAAGACAAGCAATCCCGAAGAGCAGCTTCTAGCTCATCAGAGCTGACTGAGATGGGTCTTGACTAAATATATCCATGTTTTTGGCTTTATAAACGACAGGATGTAAGTGTGCTAAAAAATTCAATTTAATTATGTTCTTAATCTGATCCATGAAAATGAACTCTGTATTAAGAAAGAATAGTTTCTGTCTGGTTCCTGACGAAACGGATATTTGAAACATTAAGGGTGTCTGAGGCAGTGGTAATGTTTGAATCCTAAACCGTTTCTGCTCCTCAGAAATGAAGCTGTGGTTTAAGTGAAATAAGAGAATTGATTGTTTTTTCCCTGTTTCACTGTTATTCTTTATATCACATTCTCTAGCTCCAAAATGCGAAGAAAATGTTTACAGAGTCACGCCAGAAATGCTCCCTGCAATGCCAAATGAACAAAGCCTCCACAAAGAGCACGGCTGCTCTCCCAGAGCTGCAATCCCAGAGCACAAACCAACATCCTGGTACACATCTCAGCAGAGCCCATTTCTGTTTTCCAGACTCTCCAGATTAGAAGGATGAAATCACCAATCATTACATGTAAATGCGCTCTCGGCACACAATTTGCGGCCAAATTTGGAAAACAAATTACTTTCCAGACAGTTTTTTTCCGGAACTTCTCACTATAATCGTGTGTAACAAGCTCCCTGAGTATCCCTAGCTTTGTGTTTTTAGTATTTTTATCATCTTTCATGCGTCGTTACCGGGACTCTTGGTTGACTTCTCATGGTCGAGAAACATTAGAACGACTTAATCCACAGAGTTTACAAAAAAGAGCAGATAAGAGTGTTATTTTTCTTTTGCCTCTTAATGCATGAAAAAAAAACAGCGTGACACCCCTACTGAAGGCGAAGCACAAATGAGACACAACAAAAACGATTAGCTGCAACCCACAGCCTCACAGTTCCAGGGACCTGGGTTCGAATTCCCCTTGGGGTGTCTGTGTGTGAGGTGCCTGCATGTCTTCCCATTGCTCAAATGGGGATTCCTCCCACCTTCCAGAGAGATGATGGCAGTGGTAATTCAAACATTACCACTGCCTTCCAGAGAGATGATGGCAGGGTTTGACAGGCTTTTCTAAAGACAAAAACCCATGCTGGTTCCAGTACAAATTATCAAACTGGTTCCAAATAATCAGAACAGTAATTTATTAGTATAAATACTGACACAAGTTAAACAAAACCAAATGAGCAGGATGGCACCCTCTCAGTTGCTGCTGTTCTGGTGCTCAGACACAGTGTATGAAATGAGTGCTGTAGGCTTCAATGGCAAAAAAAAATGGATATTCCAAAAGAGCACAATGTATAGGGATTAACGAACACCAAGTTAATCAAAACATCGGAAGAAGCAAGCCTGAACAATAACTCAGAAAGAAAATACTACAGAAACTTCAGAAGGAAATAAATATATCTTTTGCACATACAATCTGCCTTTGCTATGTCATAACCTATAGCCACACACCTCTATTCTGTAGCCAAAGGGGGCTTGTAGAGCTCAGGGGTGGTTTCTGATGAGCACATTGGGGCTCAAGCAGCAGCCAACTAGATCTCACAGCAGGGTCGCTGGAGGGGTCCTCTGGAAGGCAGGACTCCAGGAATGGGCAGACAGGGATTTTAGCTGACTATGCCACCCCCCTCTCCCCAGGACGGTGGCTTAAAGAAAACTGCAGCTAAAAAAAAAAACAGATTTTGTTTTACGAAGAAATTATTTTTTCCAACCTCATGTGTCGTTAAAACCTTTACCAGCTGCTGTACATCTGCAAAACCTACCTCTGTTATAGAAAAAAAAAAGAAGATTCT